GCGGGGGGCGGTGCCAGGGCCGCGACCCCATTGCTGGGGGGATTAAAGGCTCAACTCCAATCCCAGAGAGGAAATTGGAATTAAATCCCTTCCGGGGGGGCTGGGGCGGCATTCCCGGCTCTGCTGAGGGTCCTGGAAGGGTAAAAGGGGTCCCGAGGGTCCCGGAAGGGTTAAAGGAGTCCCGAGGGTCCTGGAAGGGTTAAAGGTGTCTCCCGTGCCGGGATTCGTTTCCCTCGGGATATTTTGGAAAGTCCTGGGCTGCAGCTGGGCCCGGGGATGGAGCAGCGCCCTTTGCCCAACTGCTTCCCATTACCGGGGAATGCGGCTCCATCTGGGAGGCAGATCGGGCCTTGGGGGGATCGGGGGGGCTGATCCCGCCCAGGGACCCCGCCGGGATCGGGATCGGCTCCAAACCCCCCCTCCCTGAGGGGGCTGCGCCCCAAAAACCGGGATGGAAACCGGGAGAAACCTGCGGGAAACGGGGGAGGAAATTCCGGGGGATTTGGGATCGGCGGCTGCAGCTGGGCCGGAGCCGCTGCTGCTCCCTGGGGAGTCCAACTTTCCCGTCCCGATTCTCCTTTCCCGCTTTTCCCTTCCCGCTTTTCTTTCCCGCTTTTCCCTTCCGGCTTTTCCCTTCCCGCTTTTCCCTTCCCAGTTTTCCCTTCCCATTTTTCCTTTCCCGGTTTTCCCTTCCCAGATTTCCTTTCCCACTTTTCCCTTCCTGGTTTTCTCCTCCCAGATTTCCTTTCCCGCTTTTCCTTTCCCACTTTTCCCTTCCTGGTTTTCTCCTCCCAGATTTCCTTTCCCGCTTTTCCTTTCCCACTTTTCCCTTCCTGGTTTTCTCCTCCCAGATTTCCTTTCCCACTTTTCCTTTCCCACTTTTCCCTTCCTGGTTTTCTCCTCCCAGATTTCCTTTCCCACTTTTCCCTTCCCACTTTTCCCTTCCCAATTTTCCTTTCCTGCTTTTCCCTTCCCAGATTTCCCTCCCTGCTTTTCCCTTCCCACTTTTTGTCCCAGATTTCCCTTCTCACTTTTCCCTTCCCAGATTTCCCTTCCCAGATTTCCTTTTCCATCTCATTCCCACTCCAAGTGAAGCTCCCGGCACCCTGCAGGGGTTTGAATTAAAAGCTCCTCTGCTGAGTTTAATTTGGAATTTTTCCCATTTTTTTCCCAGCCACTGCTGCATTTTCCCAGGCCCTGGGTTTGAGTTTGGGATTTTTCCCAATGGATCCAGCGGGGATCCGGCCCTGTCGCCCCCCTGGCAGCAGATGTGGGGTTCAGATGTGGGGTTCAGCAGCCCAGGCCCTCCCCAGAGCCCCATTAAAAAGGGGGAAGGAGCTTTTCCAGGGATTTCCCCCAGCCCATGAGAACATCAGGCCCCTTTCCAGATTTATTCCAAATTTTCCCTTCTTTTTTTTTTTTCTCCTCTCTCCCCATAAATCCGCTGTCCCCGATCCCACACACGAAGCCCCAGCTCGTTTCCTGCTTTTCCTGCTCTGGGAACTCGGGGATTTGGGACCAGAATGGGAAGTGGTGAAAATCCCCTCAGGAAGGCGCTGAGGGCTTTTCCCCCATCCTTTATTCCCAGGGTTTTTTTGGGAGACCGGGAAGAAGCGAGCGGGACAACGACAACGATGCTCTTTATTGGCATCCCAAGGATACACACGGACACATTCCACCCCCCCGGGCCTCCCCCGTGCATCCCCCCGGGCTCATGCTGCCCCCAGACCCCCCCAGACCCCCCCAAATCCTTCTATTCCTACGAAATCGGCCCTGGAATTACAGAGTGGGGAGTGGAGCAACACACGGGCTTGGTACGACACGAAACGAGCTCTGGCTTTGGCTTGGGTTGCCCTCCTGGCTTTGGGGGTGTTTTTGGAGTTTTTGGAGTTTTATTTCCGTTTTTTCCCCGCAGCTCAGGGGGGTTTGAGGCAACCCCCGGCTCCTCTTTGGATGCTGAGTTTGTCCCCATTCCCTCGGCACTGAAAATCTGAATTTTGGGATTCGGGGGTGCTGAAATCCCTTCCCATGGCTATGAAAACCTGAGGGTGAGGCGGGGATGTCCTGAGGAACAGAATTCCCAGCAGGAGAGGCTGGGCTGGGCTGGCTCTGCCAGGAAATTCAGTTTGGGTTTGGGCACCTCGATCCAGGCACCCTCAGCTTGTCCTGGAGTCGCTTTCCAAAAATCCCAGAGCAATGGGAGCCACCTGAAGGCGGTCAGTGATGGAATCCATCCCAAATTCATGCAAGATTCATCTCAAATCCATCCTGAATTAATCCAAAACTCACCTCAAATCCATCCCAAATTGATGCCAAATCCACCCAAAATCCATCCCGAATTCATGCAAAATTCATGCCAAATCCACCCCGAATTAATCCAAAATTCATGCCAAATCCTGAATCCTAAATTCACCCCAAATCCATCCTGAATCCATCCCAAATCCATTCCAGACTAATCCCAAATGGATCCCCTAAATCCATCCCAAATCCGTCCCAAACTCGTCCCCCAAATTCACCCCAAATCCATTCCAGATTAATCCCAAATCCACCCCAAATCCACCCCAAATCCATTCCAGATTCATCCCAAATTCACCCCAAATTCATCCCAAATCCATCCTGTTGTGTGGCTCAGTCTGGCAGGATCTGGGGAGTGGGGTTGGAAATTTGGGGCAAATTTCCTTGGATTTGGGTGGTGGGAAGAGTTTGGGACGTGGATTTGGGATTTTCAGCCCTTCCAGCTCTTCCCAAGGGATCTTGGCAGAAATCCTCCAAATCCCAGCCCGGGTTCTCCATCACCCAGAGCATAACGGGAGGGAAATTTCCAGAAGATTCCAGGGGATCTGGGTGCTGGAATCTCCAAATCCCAGAGTTCTCCATCATCCAGAGCACAACGGGAGAGAAATTTCCAGAAGATTCTGCGGGATCTGGAATCCCTCAAATCCCAGCCTGGTTCTCCATCACCCAGAGCACAATGGGAGGGAAATTTCCAGAAGGTTCTGGAGGATCTGGGTGCTGGAATCCCCTAAATCCTGACCTGGGTTCTCCATCACCCAGAGCACAATGGGAAGGAAATTTCCAGAAGGTTCTGGGGGATTTTGGATGGAATCCCCCAAATCCCAGCCTGGTTCTCCATCACCACAATGCAAGGAAATTTCCAGAAGATTCTGGAGGATCTGGATGCTGGAATCCCCCAAATCCCAGGCTGGGTTTTCCATCACCCAGAATGCAATAGGAGGGAAATTTCCAGAAGGTTCTGGAGGATCTGGAATTCCATGGAAGCCGCTCCAGCCCCTGGAGCTTTGCTGGGATCATCCCAACCCTGCTGTGGGATTTTGGGGCCTCCCCGTGGAGTCTTTAAGGCCAGAAACGAGGTGGGACTAAAGGGGTGGGACGGGAATTCCCAGTTGGAATTGGGGAGGGGACAGGGCTGTCCCCAAGGGGGTGACACCGAGCACTGGGTCAAACACCAAATCCTATTTACAGATCTCTCCTCTGGGAGGGCCCAAAAATCCCGTTCTGGGAAAAATCCCATTCTGGGGAAAATCCCGTTCTGGGGAAAATCCCATTCTGGGAAAAATCCCATTCTGGGGAAAATCCCATTCTGCCTTTGGGGAGGAATTTTGGGATGAATCCAGAGGGGAGGGACGGCCACACCTGGCTGGGGGCGGTGCCCTCACCTGGCTCTGGGGACATTGCCAGAAGCTTGGTGGCATCTCAGGGGACACTCCCTGGACCGGTGGCCACTCAGGGGACATCTCCAGGCCGGTGACAGCCCAGGGGACATCCTGAGGCTGGTTGCAGCTCAAGGGACATTCCCCAGGACAGTGGCAGCTCCAGCTCACCCATGTGGGGCCGAAACGCCCGCAAAATGTCCTTGGAGTGATGTCACCTCCCCGAATGTCACCCTGGGGGCAGAGGGACATTGCCGAGCTGCCCTTCACAGTGCTGGAGCCCTTTCAGCAGGGTGGGGACAGTGCAGTGGTGGCAGGGTGGCCTGGCCCAGCTCAGGGACAGTGCAGTGGTGGCCTGGCCCAGCTTGGGGACAGCTTGGGGACAGTGCAGTGGTGGCAGGGTGGCCTCGGTGGTCCCTGCAGCTTGGGGACGCGGGGACAGGGCAGGAGCGAGGAGCGGAGCCCTGTGTCCCCGCGGGGCAGGCACTTGGTCAGCGCTTTCCACCTTCAGTGTCCCCTCAGTGTCCCCTCAGTGTCCTCTTGGTGTCTCCTCGGTGTCCCCTGCAGCCCCCATGGTGGGGGTCGTGGCACCCCAAAATCATCTCCTCGGTGTCCGGGGTGGCCCCGGCTGCTCCCCCAAGTCCCTGCAGAGCTGTGGGCAGCTGCACCCCAAATTTCACAGTGTAGGGAGCCAGGTCCGCTCCCCCAGCCCCTCTGAGCCCCCAAATCCTGGGGCAGCAGCCCCAGTCCCGCCCTTTCCCCGGTTTTGGGGTAAAAGCAGCCGGATTTGGGGGTGTTGGAGGGGAACAGGAGGAAGAGGAGCCCTGGGGAGAGAAGAGGGTGGAAGGGAGGAGAGGGGAGGGCTGAGAGCACGGCGATCTCTCCATGTCCGTCTGTCCATCTGTCCGTCCATCCTGCAGCCAGGATTTGTGATCAGGGTGGGGCTGAGCCCCTCCAACACCATCAGGGGCCGGTACCAGTACCGGGACCTGCTCGGGGGCCACCCCACCGTGTCCCCCCAGAGCCGGGATTTGTGATCAGGGTGGGGCTGAGCCCCCCAACACCGGGGACCAGGAGCTGCTCCAGGAGCTGCTCTGGGGTGACCCCACAACCTCTCCCCAGTGCTGGGATTTGTAATCAAGGTGGGGCTGAGGCCCCCAACACCAGGGAACGGGAGCTGCTCCAGGGTGACCCCACAACCTCTCCCCGCTGCCGGGATTTGCGATCAGGATGGGGCTGAGCCCCCCAACACCGGCACCGGGAGCTGCTCCGGGGTGACCCCAGCGCCTCCCCCCGGCACCGGGCAGGCTCAGCCCCCCGGGCCGGCCCTCACACCGGGGAGGTGGCGGTGGAGTCGCTGGCCAGGCTGTCGGCGATGTCGCCGCGCTGCAGGCGGCGCAGGGCGGCCAGGAGCGCGTCCAGCGTGGCCGACTCGCGGCCGGCCCAGTGCGCCAGCAGCGCCCGCGCCGGGGCCTCCTCGCGCGTGAAGGACTCGATCAGCTCCTCCTTGTAGCCCAGCTCCCCCGCCAGCTGCCGCCACGTGTCCTCGGCCGAGCTGCCCAGCAGCTTCTCCACCTCCTCCTGCTTGCTGGCCGGCAGCGCTGAGTACGGGCTGCCGTCCGCCTTGGGAGCTGCTGGAGAGAGGGGGAACGGTCTGAGAGCCTGCCCGGGGTGTGCCATCCTCCCTGCCCTTAGCTGGGTGTCTGTGCCCATCCCAGGGTCTCTGTGCCCGTCCTCCCTGCCCTTCCCTGAGTGTCCCTGTCCTTCCCAGATTGTCCCTGTCCATCCCTGAGTGTCTGTGTCTCTCCTCCCCGCCCTTGCCTGGGTGTCTGTGCCCATCCTCCCTGCCCTTACCTGGGTGTCCCTGTCCTTACCTGAGTGTCCCTGCACATCCCAGATTGTCCCTGTCTATCCCTGAGTGTCTGTGCCTGTCCTCCCTGCCCTGAGCTGGGTCTTCCTGTTCATCCCTGAGAGTCCCTGCCCATCCCACATTGTCCCTGTCCATCCCTGGGTGTCTGTGCCCAGCCTTCCTGCCCTTACCTGGGTGTCCCTGTTCATCCCTGGATGTCCCTGTCCATCCTCCCTGCCCATCCCTGAGTGTTTCTGTCCATCCCCTCATGTCCCTGTCCATTCTTCCTGTCCATCTCAGGGTGTACCTGTCCATCCCCAGGATGTCCCTGCCCACCCCAGATTGTCCCCACCCATCCCTGGGACGTCCCTGTCCATCCCCAGATCATCCCTGCCCATCCCAGATTGTCCCCATCCATCCCCAGGACATCCTTGTCCATCCCAGGGTGTCCCTGCCCATCCCAGATTGTCCCTGCCCGCCCCAGCAGCCCCGCCTGGCCCCTGGGTGCCCCGTGCTCACCCCTGGGTGCCCCGTGCCCACCCCTGGGTGCCCCGTGCCCACCCCAGCAGCCCCACCTGGCCCCTGGGTGCCCTGCCCCGGCGGCTGCTGCTCGTGCAGGCTCTGGCTGTCCACGGAGATGCCGCTGTCGCTGTGCAGCTTCTCGCCCTCGGGGGACGGCGTCTGGTTCACCGGGCGGTTGTTGGCGCCTTGCTTGTTCTGCTTGCAGCTGTTCCACCTGCGGGGACAGCGGCGCACGGGTGACGTCCCCGGGGGGTGGCAGGGCTTGGTGCCATTGTCTGGGGTGTGTCCCGTTCCCTGGGTTTGTCCCATTGTCTGGGACTTGTCCCCTTGTATGGGGTTTGTCCCATTGTATGGGGTTTGTCCCCTTCCGTGGGTTTGTCCCATTTTCTGGTTTCTGTCTTGGTGCCGGGACAGGGACAGGGACAGGGACAGGGGATGGGACAGGGACACAGACAAAGACACAGGGACAGGGACAGGGAATGGGACTGGGACAGGGACAGGAACAGGGACACAGACAAGGACAGGGGATGGGATAGGGACACAGATAAGGAGACAAGGACAGGGACAGGGAGGGGGACAAGGACAGGAACAGGAACACAGACAGGGACAGGGAACAGGGACAGAGACAGGAACAGGGACAGGGAATGGGACTGGGGCAGGGACATGGACACAGACAAGGACAGGGGTGCAGTGTGTCCCCCACCCTGCTGCCACCTCCCTCCTCACCCCTCACACAATTTTGGAAATCCTCCCATCCTGGTGCCCTCGGTGGTGGCAGCTGTGGCTGTGGGACATCCAGAGAGGGGTCCCACAGTTCCCCCCTCCCCAAATCCCTGTCCCGGTACCTCTTGAAGGCGATGTAGGCCACCAGCCCCACCACCACGGCGGCCAGGATGGAGCAGTAGACGGGGATGAGGTTGTCGCTGGTGCCGTGGGTGAGCACGGGCTGCGAGCTGCCCATGACGGTGGTGGCCGTGTCGGCCGCGGTGCTGGGCCCGCCCTCGGTGCTCGGCGGCTCCCTGGTGGCCTCGGGGCTCTCAGAGCCCCCCAGGGACGGGGCCGGCGTGGTCCAGCGAGGGTGGAGCCCTGGCGGGGCGGAGGGAAGGGAAATGGGGGTCAGGATGAGCCGGGGGTGGCCGTGGCTGTGTCAGCGCTGTCCCTTGGGGCACAGCTCCTGCTGTGGCCCCCAAACCCAGGGGAGCCGCCCCAGCTGACCCCAAATCGCCCTGAGGCAGAGAAACCCCCCCAGGTGTCCCCAAACCCGCCCTGAGGCAGCCCAGGTGCCCCAGCTGTCCCCATACCCATCCTGGGGCAGCCCAGGTGTCCCCAAACCCACCCTGAGGCAGCCCAGGTGCCCCAGCTGTCCCCAAACCCGCCCTGGCCCAGCCCAGGTGTCCCCAAACCCACCCTGAGGCAGCCCAGGTGCCCCAGCTGTCCCCAAACCCGCCCTGGCCCAGCCCAGGTGTCCCCATACCCATTCTGGGACAGCCCAGGTGCCCCCAAACCCACCCTGAGGCAGCCCAGGTGCCCCAGGTGTCCCCAAACCCGCCCTGGCCCAGCCCAGGTGTCCCCATACCCATCCTGGGGCAGCCCAGGTGCCCACGCCCCGCACGCAGCCGCTCCCGCAGCTCCAGGGCTTTGCTCCTTTCCCGGCCCCTGCGGCTCCGCCCGGGAGTGACCCCAATCCTGCCACGCCCGGGCGTGTCCCGGGAGCCGCGGGGCCGTCTGGGCTTGTCCCGGGGACACACGTGGGAGCCTCATCCCGTGTGATCCCATCTGATCCCATCCAATCCCATCCCGAATTCCCTGTGCCCTCTCCGGTGCCAGGGCCAGGCCACGTCCCTCAGCCCATCCCGGAGTGAGACTGAGATGGGAATTGTGCCAGGAGCTGGGACCTCGCCCTGCCACCCCCCTGCCAACCCCCTGGGATTGTGCCAGGCTGGGATTGTGCCAGGCTGTGATCAGGACTGAGCTGGGATTGTGTCACGCTGGGATTGTGCCATGCTGGGATCAGGATTGAGCCGGGATTGTGCTGGGCTGGGATTGTGCCAGTTTGGGATTGTGACAAACTGGGATTGTGCCAGGCTGGAATTGTGCCCCGCCAGCCCTGGGGCTTCGGTGGTGTCACTGTCGCCGTCACAGGGGGGTTGGTGGCATCCTGCCCTGCCGTGTCCCAGTGCCATCCTGCCCTGTCCCGCTGCCATCCTGCCCTGCTGTGTCCCACTGGCATCCTGTCCCATCCTGCCCTGTCCCTGTCCCATCCTGCCCTGCTGTGTCCCTGTCCCATCCTGCCCTGCCGTGTCCCAGCCCCCGCTGCCCTTTGGAACCCCCTCCCGGGCCCACAGCAGACAAAGCCACCGCTGTGTCCCTGACTTGTGGCTCCATTTACTCGACCCTTGGGCGGAGCTGCCCCTCAGCCCGGCTCGGCGGCGGCCGGGACAAAGAAAGAAAAGCTTTCTGCTTTTGTGGTGCCACGCTCGGGGCACCGAGTGACGCTGTGCCCGCCCGGGAACGCGGCTGGGGCTGGCCGGGAGCCCCGGGGGGAGCAGCCCTGGGGGGATCAGCTCTGGTGGGAGCAGCCCTGGGGGGATCAGCCCTGGTGAGAGCAGCCCCGCTTCCTCTGAGAGCTCAGCACAGCTCTGACTTCTGCTCTGCCCCTTTTTTTCCCCTTTTTTCCCCTTTCCCATGGGGCTGGAGCTGTGTTTGGGATGCCGATGGGGACAGGGGGACAGACACACAGCCCCAGCTCCTTTCCCTTGCCCAGCGCTGCCAGATCCCAGCACAGTTCCCCAAACCCAGGTCCAGCCACACCTCGGCAGCTGCACCTGAATGTCCCAGCGGTGGCAGCAGAGCGGTGGCAATGGCACAGCCACACCGAGAATGTCCCTGGAGTGGCAGCAGAGCTGTGACAATGGCGCACACCGGGAACATCCCAGCAGTGGCGGCAGAGCGGTGACAATGACACAGCCACACTGGGAAGAGTGGTGACAATGGCACACACCAGGAATAGCCCAGCAGTGACGCCAGAGCTGTGACAATGGCACAGCCACACCGGGAACGTCCCTATGGTGGCAGCAGAGCAGTGACAATGGCACAGCCACACCAGGCACGGCTCTTACCCCACAGCAGGGCCGTGACAGTGACACACACCAGGAACGTCCCTGCATGGCAGCAGAGCTGTGACAATGACACAGCCACATCGGGAATGTCCCAGCGGTGGCGGCAGAGCAGTGACAATGGCACACACCAGGAACGTCCCTGAGGGGGTGGCAGCAGAGCGGTGACAGTGGCACACACCAGGTACAGCTCTTACCCCACGGCAGAGCCGTGACAATGGCACAGCCACACCAGGAACATCCCAGCAGTGTCACCAGAGCTGTGACAATGACACAGCCACACCGGGAACGTCCCTGTGGTGGCAGCAGAGCCGTGACAATGACACACACCGGGCACATCCCAGCAGTGGCAGCAGAGCGGTGACAATGACACAGCCACGCCAGGCACAGCTCTTACTCCACATCAGAGCGGTGACAATGACACAGCCACATCGGGAAGAGCAGTGGCAGTGACACACACCATTGGCACACCCGGGAATGTCCCAGCAGTGACACCAGAGCGGTGACAATGACACAACCACACCAGGAACGTCCCAGCAGTGGCAGCAGAGCGGTGGCAATGACACAACCACACCAGGTACGTCCCAGCAGTGACACCAGAGCCGTGGCAATGCCACACACCATTGGCGCACTCTTACCCCGGCACTCGGCGTCCGCCACGGCCGTGCACTCGCGCACCAGCACCTCGTTGTCCTCGCAGGTGGTGCAGGGCAGGCAGGGGTCCACGAAGTTGGCCTCGCTGGAGAAGGTGCCCTCGGGGCACTCCTCGCACACGGTGTCCTGCGAGTCCTTGCAGGGGAACATGAGCCCGAAGCCGACCTCGCAGACGCGGCACTCGCGGCAGCCGCCGCTGCTCTCGTCCTGGAAGTAGCCGTAGGCGCAGCGGCACACGGCGTCGTCGGTCTCCACGCAGGGCGCCGACATGCTCTGCAGCCCCTCGCACTGCGTGCACGGCTTGCACGGCTCCGTGGCGCTGGCCGTGTCCGAGAAGGTGACGCCTGATGGGGACGGGGAGGGGATCAAAGCTCTGCTTCTGCTTTCCTTCATTTCCCTCTGGGCTCAGAGCGAGAGGGGTCTCTGTGCTCCCCCCAGGCTCAGCTTCCCATCAATGCCTTCCTCATTCCCGCAGGAATTCCCAGCTCCTCATCTCCCAGCCCATTCACATCTCCCCCATTCTCCAGCAATTCCCAGTTTGGAGCCTCCTTCCAGGCTCAGCTTCCCAGTGACATCCTCCCCATTCCCGTCTCCTCATCCCATTCACTCCTCCTCATCCAATTCCCAGTTTGGAGCATCCTTCAAGGCTCAGCTTCCCATTGACACCTTCCCCATTCCCACCACAATTCCCAGCTCCAGCACACTCCAGGCTCCCGTTCCCATTGACACCTGCACCATTCCCACAGCAATTCCCAGTTTGGAGCATCCTTCCAGGCTCATCTTTCCAGTAACATCTTCCCCATTCCCGCCTCCTCATCCCATTCCTCTGCAATTCCCGGTTTGGAGCATCATTCCAGGTTCATGTGCCCAGTAACATCGTCCCCATTCCCTCCTCATCAGCCCATTCACACCTTCCCCATTCCTCAGCAATTCCCAGTTTGGAGCCTCCTTCCAGGCTGAATTTCTCTCCCCATTCCCGCCTCCTCATCCCAATTCCTCTGCAATTCCCAGTTTGGAGCCTCCTTCCAGGCTGAATTTCTCTCCCCATTCCCGCCTCCTCATCCCAATTCCTCTGCAATTCCCAGTTTGGAGCATCATTCCAGGCTCAGCTTCCCGTTGACACCTGCACCATTCCCACCTCCTCATCCTCATTGACACCTCCTCATCCCATTCCCACCTCCTCAATCCCCATTCCTCCCTCCTCAATCCCAATTCCCCCCTCCTCATCCTCATTCCCCCATCCTCAATCCCCATTCCTCCCTCCTCAATCCCCATTCCTCCCTCCTCAATCCCCATTCCTCCCTCCTCATCCCCATCCCCTCCCCAGTTCCCATTCCCCTGGGTCCATCCTGGCTGCGCCGCCCCCATTGCCCATCCCAGCGCTCTCTGCTCACATCCCCGCGCTAATTCCCGATTTTATTCCCTTTCTGACCCCCGGGGCCATTCCCTGCCCTCACACCCCATCGCTTTCCCCGCACATCCTGCCGGGGTCCCGGGGGTCCCACTGTCCCCGCTGTCCCCGCTGTCCCCGCTGTCCCCGGTGGCAGCGCTGACTGTGCCTGACCCCGCGGCTCCTGCGCTCCGGTTTCAGCCCGCAGGACGCGCTGCGGGGGAAATCGATGCCCGTTCCGAGCCGTGCCCGCTCCCGGAGGAGCTCGGGGATATTTTTAGCCCCGGAAGAGGCAGCGGAGCCCGGCCTGGAGGGCGCAGCTGCTGCTGATGCTGCCCCCGCTCCCACCGGAGCTGCCGGCCCAGCCCGGGGAAATTCCAGGGGTGGAGAAGGGGCTGGGGATCCCTGCGACCCCAGGGATGGTGCTGGGAATGATTCCTGCTCCCAGCAGCTTCCCTGGGGACACCGAGGTGCTCGGGACAGGAATTTCGGGCTGCTCCGGAGGGGGATGAAGCCCCAAAGCCCCTGGGAGGGACCCAGGTTCCATCCCAGCCTCACCAGCGGATTTCTCCCATCCCCAACACCTTCCCTCCTCACCCTGTGCCTGTGCCTGGATGTCCTGCCCCTGCCCTGAGGCTTTCCCTGGACCTGCAGAGGATTTGGAGTCACAAAATCCCGGGATGGTTTGGGTCAGGAGGGACCCCAAACCCCCCAATTCCCTGGATAGGGAAATCTCCCGCTATCCCGGGCTGCTCCCAAGCCCATCCTCGCTATCCCGGGCTGCTCCCAAACCCAGCCTCGCTATCCCGGGCTGCTCCCAAGCCCATCCTCGCTATCCCGGGCTGCTCCCAAACCCATCCTCACTATCCCGGGCTGCTCCCAAACCCAGCCTCGCTATCCCGGGCTGCTCCCAAACCCATCCTCGCTATCCCGGGCTGCTCCCAAACCCATCCTCGTTATCCCGGGCTGCTCCCAAACCCATCCTCGCTATCCCGGGCTGTGCCCAAATCCATCCTCGCTATCCCGGGCTGCTCCCAAACCCATCCTCGCTATCCCGGGCTGTGCCCAAATCCATCCTCGCTATCCCGGGCTGCTCCCAAACCCATCCTCGCTATCCCGGGCTGCTCCCAAGCCCATCCTCGGTATCCCGGGCTGCTCCCGAGCCCATCCTCGCTATCCCGGGCTGCTCCCAAACCCATCCTCGGCTACTCCCGGGGTCAGGGCAGCCGTGGCTCCCCCGATCCGTCTGTCGCTGTCGCTTCCAGCCCCTCGCAGCCCCAGCCCCGCGCCCGAGCAGCAGCGCTGGAGCAGCCCCGGGGCGGCACACGCGGCTCCCATTAACCCGGGCTCATGCCTCGCATTATGCTGAATTATTGATGGGCGCCATTAGAGCGGGGAAGTGGCCAGGAAAGGCTTTCGGCTGAGTGGGCACATTTGCAGCGGCAGCCGAGGGGATCTGAGCTGAGCAATTACAGCCCCGCAGCGAACGGGGCCGAGCCCCCGGCCCTCCCTCCCCCGGAGGCTGCGGGGATGAATAAATCATGAGCAGCCCCCGGGCTCTGGGGGGCTGAGATGGGGGGAATTGGAGCAATCCCCCCCTTTTAGGGTGTTTCTGGCAGCCCCCCAGGCTCTGGGGTGTTGAGATGGGGGGAAAAGGGGGAATTAGAGCAATCCCCCCCCCTTTTGGGGTGTTTCTGGCAGCCCCTGGACTCTGGAGTGTTGGGATGGGGGAAAAGGGGAACTAGAGCAATTCCTCCCTTTTGGGGTGTTTCTGGCAGCCCCCCGGGCTTTGGGGGCTGTGATGGGGGAAAAAGGGGGAATTAGAGCCATCCCCCCCCTTTTGGGGTGTTTCTGGCAGCCCCCCGGGCTCTGGCAGGGCCGGGCTTTTCGCAGAGGATTTTTCCGGAACGATTCCCCCGAGGGTCGGGAGCGCGGCCAAGGGAGTGCTCGGAGGAGGCAGCCGCGGGTGCAGGTGGGGACCCTCGGCCCTGGGCCGTGCCCACATTCCTGGGGCGCAGTCTGGAGGCCGTGCCAGCAGCGGGGCTGCCTCCGCCTGCCCGGCCCGAGGCAGCGGCACCCGGGGGATCCGGGGGCATCCGAACACGTCCAGGGGGATCCAAACATGTCCAGGGGGAATCTAGGGGGATCCAGGGGGATCCAAACATGTCCAGCAGGATCCAGAGGGATCCAGGCATGTCCAGGGGGATCCAGAGGGATCCAGGCATATCCAGGGGGAATCTAGGGGGATCCAAACATGTCCAGGGGGATCCAGAGGGATCCAGGCATGTCCAGGGGGAATCTAGGGGGATCCAGGGGGATCTGGGTGTGTTCACCAGGATCCAGGGGGATCCAAACACGTCCAGGGGGATCCAAACATGTCCAGGGGGAATTTAGGGGGATCCAGGGGGATCTGAGTGTGTCCAGCAGGATTCAGAGGGATCCAGATATGTCCAGGGGGATCCAGAGGGATCCAGGCATATCCTAGGGGGATCCAGGGGGATCTGGGTGTGTTCACCAGGATCCAGGGGGATCCAAACGTGTCCTGGGGGATCCAGGGGGATCCAAACATGTCCAGCAGGATCCAGAGGGATCCAGGCATGTCCAGGGGGATCCAGAGGGATCCAGGCATATCCAGGGGGAATCTAGGGGGATCCAAACATGTCCAGGGCGATCCAGAGGGATCCAGGCATGTCCAGGAGGACTCTAGGGGGATCCAGGGGGATTTGGGTGTGTTCACCAGCATCCAGGGGGATCCAAACATGTCCAGGGGGAATCTAGGGGGTTCCAGGGGGATCCAGGGGGTTCCAGGGCCACAGGGCTCCTCTCCCCATCCCAGCAAGGGACAGATGCGGGGTTTGCAGGTTTCCTTCCCTCCACACCCCAAAATCCCTCTCAGGGAAGAGCTGAGGGTGGGGAGGAGCTTTTCCCTCAGTGGGATCCGTCCCCATTGGGATCCATCCCCTCCCTGGGATCCATCCCTCACTGGGATCCCTCCCTGGGATCCATCCCTCACTGGGATCCCTCTCTGGGGTCCGTCCCCCCATCCAGGAGGGATCCAGCCCCGTTTCCCGGCCGGGCTCAGGGAAGCAGAGCCGTCCATCGATTTCTCAGGACGCTGAGGTATTTTTAGCCCTGCCCTGGCTCTGCTCCTCCAGCTCTGGCTCTGTTCCTCCAGCCTGCTCTGCCTCCTGTCTGCTCCCTCCTCATCCCAAACCCTTCTGTGCACACCCCAAACCCCCCTGAGCACATCCCAAACCCTTCTGTCCACACCCCAATCCCCCTCTGTGCCTGACAGCACTGCCCAGACCCCGCTGTGGGGCTGTGCCCTTCCCCACACCCCAAACTCCCACTTTGGGGAAGAATCTCCCATTTTACCCCATCCTTTCCCCAGAATCCGGCCCGATCCCCTCTTGGTTCAGCACAGGGGTGACCTGGGGACGCTGTGACACTTTGGGGGGCACAATGGGGTGTTTGGGGCACTCACTGTCAGCACAAGGGTGACCCGGGGACACTGTGACACTTTCAGGGGGGTGTTTGGGGTACTCACAGTCAGCACAGGGGTGTGACATGGGGACGCTGTGACACTTTCAGGGGGGTGTTTGGGGTACTCACAGTCAGCACAGGGGTGTGACATGGGGACGCTGTGACACTTTCAGGGGGGTGTTTGGGGTACTCACAGTCAGCACAGGGGTGTGACATGGGGACGCTGTGACACTTTGGGTGGTGTTTGGGGTACTCACAGTCAGCACAGGGGTGTGACATGGGGACGCTGTGACACTTTCAGGGGGGTGTTTGGGGTACTCACAGTCAGCACAGGGGTGTGACATGGGGACGCTGTGACACTTTCAGGGGCGTGTTTGGAGTACTCACAGTCAGCACAGGGGTGTGACATGGGGACGCTGTGACACTTTGGGGGCTGTTGGGGTACTCACTGTCCAGGCAGGGCTCGCACACCGTCTGGTTGACCCCGCAGGGCTGCACCACGCCCTCGCCCACGTTGCAGAGGCGGCAGCACTCCCCGCCCAGCGTGAACAGCCTGGAGGCACAATCGTCCTTGGAGGCGCCGGCACCGGGGCCCTGCGGAGAGCAGAGCCCAGAGGTCACCCCTGTCACATCTGTCACCCCCAGGGATGTGACAGCCAGGGAAGGGCCCGCTCTGGGGACACGCCTCTCTGCTGAACGGTGATTTGGGGGAGAAAAGCGCTTTTCCAGGCAAAATTAATTCCTTGGGAAATGCCCTGCTGAGATCTGTGCTGGAGGGAGCCGGGAGGGTCCCCAGGGGGGGTTTGGGGTGATGTGGCCGCTGTGTGGTGACAGGTTTGTCCCTGTCCCTTCCTCAGCCACCTCCCCTAAGGGCGCTGAGCCATTTGGGGGGCTCAGCCCTTCCCAGCCTGGGAATGGCAGAGGAGAGGAGGAATCCCTGCCCCATGGAGGGTCTGGGGGGCTCCTCTGCCCCCCAAAACCCCCTGGGAAACGGGGCGGAAATGGGGGACTGAGGGAGCAGCAGGAGCCTGGGTGTCCCTGCAGGTACAACCCGACAGGTACAACCCGACAGGTACAACCTGTCACCACACCTGAACGCCGCCAACACCCCTCGGGGCTCTGCACCCGTGGGGTGCAGGAGCCCCTTCCCACAGCCCCTTCTGCCTCCCGCCCACCCACGGACCCCCGGCCGATGCTGGGCAATGGGGGAGAGCCCCGCGGGAGCGTCTGGCGGCCTCGTCAGCAGCGCCTTGGCCGCGTCCCCGCGCTCGGAGCGGCGCTCGGGGCTCCGCATCCGGCGGGGCCGAGACAATGGAGCGCCAATTGCAGGCAGCTGAATGACAAAGTGCTCCAATTACCCCGCGCTGCGAGGCGGCCGCTCCCGCTCCCCCTCCCCGCCAGCCCGCCCTGGCAGCGCCTCCTTCCAGAGCCCTTCTCCAGAACCCTTCTCCAGAGCCTTTTCCCAGAACATTTTCCCAGACCCTTTCCCCAGATCCTTTTCCCAGCCCGTTTTTCCAGATCCTTTCCCCAGGCCCTTTTTTCCAGATCCTTTTCCCAGATCCTTTTCACCAATCCTTTTTCCCAGACCCTTTTCCTGAACCGTTTTCCAAGCCCTTTTCCCAGACCCTTTTCTCAGCCCTTTTTCCAAACCCTTTTCCCAGACCCTTTCCCAGAACGTTTTCCCAGATCATTTTTCCAACTCCTTTTCCCAGCCCCTTTTTCCTTTCCCAGATCCTTTTCTAGCCCCTTTTCCCAGCCCCTTTTCCCAGGCTCTATTTCCAGACCCTTTTCCCAGACCCTTTTTCCAGCCCCTTTCCCCAGAACTTTTTCTCAGCCCCTTTCCCCAGGCCCTTTCCCATCCCCTTTTCCCCAGCCCCTTTTCCCAGATCCTTTTTCCAGCCCCTTTTCTCACCCCCTTTTTCCAAACCCCTTTTCCAGAACACTTTTCCAGCCCCTTTTCCCACTCCAGGCAGGCAGGAGGGATTGGAATACGGGGAACCCTCCCAGCACCCCAAATGTCCCCTGGGAGTGGTTTGGGGTGCGGCGGTGCCCACACGTGGGGCGCACATTTGGGGTTTTGGGGTCCAGCCGGGCACGGCCCATCCCGAGCTCCTCCAGGGCAGCGTTTGGCAACTCAGATATCCCAGGGATGTGATTCCAGGGGCTGGGAATGGGGCTGGCTGTGAGTGGTGATGGGGCTGGGCCTGGGCATCCAGAGCATCCCATGATCCCAGAGACCCCAGAGCATCCCACAGTTCCAGAGACCCCAGAACTTCCAGGGATCCCAGAGAATTCCACAATTCCAGAGATCCCAGAGATCTCACAGCTTTCCCCGATCCCAGAGCATCTGGGTGATCCCACAGCTTCCAGAGATCCCAGATCTTCCCTCAATCCCAAAGCATCCCATGACCCCAAATCTTCCAGATCTTCTCTCAATCCCAGAGCATGCCCTGATCCCAGAGCATCCCATGATCCCAAATCTTCCAGAGATCCCAGAGCCTCCAAAAACCCCAGATCTTCCCCTGATCCCAGAGCATTCCATGATCCCAGATCTTCCCCTCATCCCAAAGCACCCCAAGATCCCAGATCATCCCACAATCCCCGAGTTTCCACCGATCCCAGACCTTCCCCTGATCCCAGATCTACCTCCAATCCCAGAATTTCCCCCGATTCCAAATTTCCTTCCGATCCCAGATCTCCCATCTCCCTCACAGCTGCGAGCTGCCCGCTTGGGATGGGCATGGCCGGGCCACCCGGTCCCTCTCCAAGGCCACCCGGTCCCTCTCCAGGGCCACCTGTCCCCTCCATCCCGGCTCCCCCGCCCACGCTCCCCGCGCTCTGCGTTAAAGGCGATTCCCCGCTCCAGGTGCCGCGGGCCCCCCTCGTTCCGGGGCTTTCCCTTTGGGGCTGGGGGCTCCGAGCCCCCCCGAGCCTGGGCAGGGGCACCTGGTCCGCGTTAGGCCGCGGAAACGCCGCGTTGTGAGCGCGGCCGGCGGTGACAAAGGCGCGGAATGAGCGCCATAAAGCATCCTGACAGCCGGCCCGGCCCGGAGGGCGCGGGCGGCACCTCTGGAAGCTCCGAGCGGCGTTCGGAGGCGGCTCGGGGGGGCTGGAGGCCGGGCAGGGGCTGCGGGTGAGGACGGAGCCGCTGCGAGCGGGATTTGGGAGCTCTGGAGCGGCCGCAAGGGGCAGGGGATGCTCCAGCTGGAGCCGAGATCCGAGATCCGAGCCCGGCCGGGATCCGAACGAGCTCTGCTTCTCTTGGCCGAGCCCCGCTCTGGGAGAGGCCAAATCCCAAATCCGGGCTCCCAAACCCCGGCTCCCAAATCCCGGCCCCTAAATCCCCGCTTCCAAATCCCCGCTCCCAGCGATTCCCGAACTTTGGGCAGCTGCGGGAGCCGCGTCCGAGCCCCGCGACTCCGGCTGGACCCGGGAGGCACCGAGGGGCGAGCGCGGGGTCTCGGGGGGTCCTGGGGTGTCCCGGGGGGTCCTGGGGGATCTCGGGGGGTCCCGGGGTGCGGGCACAGCTGGGGGGGCACAGCCGGGTCCCCGTTGTCCCCCCGGACACTCGCAGCCCCGCAGGGCAGAGCCAGCCCCGGAGGTGACCCCGGACAGGGCAGCGGCGATTTGGGGACATCCGCAGCGGCCGGGGGGAGGGCGGCGGGAGATGCCCGGGGGGGAATGGTTGGGATCCATCCGGCCGGGACAGCTCCGGGCGCTCCGGTCCCAGCGGCCCCGGGGGGGTTTGGGCACCGCGATCCCGAGGGGGGGACGGGGAAAGGAGCCAGGACCCCCCCGACCCCGCGGTGCCAGCCCCGCTCCGCAGCCCCGAACTCCGCCTTTAATATCCTGCCCGGGGGGTGTCCGGCTGCCTGAGAGCCCCCCTGGGACCCCCGGCAAATCCCGGCCCCCAAACAGCCCCGATCCTGCCCCAGCTGCGGGTCTGGACCCCCAAACAGCCCCGATCCTGCCCCAGCTGCGGGTCTGGACCCCCAAACAGCCCCGATCCTGCCCCAGCTGCAGGTCTGGACCCCCAAACAGCCCCGATCCTGCCCCAGCTGCAGGTCCGGACCCCCCGGCCCCTCTCCCCTCTCCGCTGCCCTCCTGCCCCTGCCCTGAAGTTTTTTGTCTGGAACACACAGCGAGGGCTCTGCCGGGGGGAAACGGGTCTGAGCCTGAGCTCCGGGGCAGTTCGGAGCCGGGAAAGTCCGGGAGAGGTTTGGGGGTGCGTGGGGGGCGGTGATGGAGGCGCTGGGGGGGTTCTGCCGCCGCTCCCCCCGGGCTGGGCTCCGTCACCCTTTGCTGTGCCAGAGCCGGGATAGCGGCACCGGAGGGGCTGCGGGACCCCCATCCCCACCCAGCTCCCCTCCGCACCCCAAGAGCTCTGCCCGGCGCTCTCCGGTGCCCCCGGGACCCTCCAGCCCCGCTCGGGGTGTCCCTGCCCCTCACCCGCGCGGCCCCCACCCCGGGAGCCCCCGAACCCCCCGTGTGAAGCCCCCGGGAGCCCCCGAACCCCTCGTGTGAAGCCCCCGGGCCCCTCCATCCCTTCCCCGCCCGGTGCCGCCGCGGGGACTCCCCGTGCCCCGGAGCCTCCGGTGCCGCTCCGGTGCCGCTGGGCCGCTCCATCCCCTCCCCGCGGGGCTCGGGGGCTGCCCGGGCGCTGCTCCCGCACTCACCGCCCGCAGCAGCAGCAGCAGCAGCGGCAGCAGCGGCAGGAGCCCGGCCATGGCGGGGCAGCGGCGCCGGTGCCACCCCCGGAGCGGAGCGGAGCGGAGCGGAGCGCGGCCGGGCTGCCCGAGCTCTGCCGCTCTCCGCCGCGGCGGGGCCAGAAAAGGCTGCGAGTCCCTCCTCCCCCTCCTCCTCCTCCTCCTCATCATCATCACCATCCCCGCCCCCGGAGCATCACGGAGCGGCAGAGCCCGCACCCTCCGCCGCCGCCACACAAAGCCCGAGAGCCCCCGGAGCCTCCCCGAGCCCCCCCTGAGCCCCCCGGGACCCCCCGAGACCCTCCGGCCCCGAGCGCTTTTGGGGCGCGCTCGCCCCGAGCTCTTCAGTCCCATCCATCGCTTTTCCTCCTGCGCTGTCTGTCCGTCCTTCAGCGCCTCTGCATCCCCGCCTCTCCCCGTCCGTCCGTCCGTCCGTCTGTCCGTCTGTCCGTCTGTCCGTCCGTCCGTCCGTCTGTCCCGGTCCCTGTGTCCCCAGCGGGGTGGGGTCTCCGATGGCACCGGGGTGGGGGGACCAGCCCTGCTCCGGCCGCAGGCGACAAGGGACGAGGGACAGGGGACGAGGGACAACGTCCCCACCCTGGGGACACCCCAGGCCTGTCCCAGCCCCGCGGGTGACACCGAGAGGCCCCCGAGGGGGACACGGGTGGGGGCTGAATTAAATCTTTGTATTTCTGCCCTCCGCAGCAAAGAAATCCCATCTGGACCCTGAAAGGTCCCCGAGTGCCACCTCCTTTGTCCTGAAATGCCAGGGCTGGTTCCCTGTCCCACAGCTCTATGTCACCCTGTCCCTGCTCTGAAATGCCATCCCACAGCGCTGTGTCACCCCTGGCACGGCTCTGCGGGGTCACCCATCAATGCCAGGGGGTCACTGGTGCCACTGGGAGCGGCCCTGACCCGCTGGCACTGCCCCAGGGTGGCTCCTGTGGCCCTTGTGACTCCTGTGGCCACAGCCCAGCGGATTTGGCCTCGTGTCCATCCAGCTCCAGGTGTTTCCTGCCCGCTCCGGGCTCTGCAGGTGCTGCTGGGGCTCCCAAAACCCGGCAGTTCCCGGCCCTGCAGCCCCAGGGTCCCGCTGGATTTCTGCTGGAAAAGCCAAATCTGGAGCCTCTGAGGAGCTCGGGGCCAGCTGCTCCCGGCTCGGCCCGGGAAGGGCTGCTCGGAATTCCCTCTCTCAATTCCCTCTCTCAGTTCCCTCTCAATTCCCCCTCAATTCCCTCTCTCAGTTCCCTCTCTCAGTTCCCTCTCTCCGTTCCCTCTCTCCGTTCCCTCTCTCCATTCCCTCTCTCCATTCCCTGTCTCAATTCTCTCTCTCCATTCCCTCTCAATTCCCTCTCTCAGTTCCCTCTCTCCATTCCCTCTCTCCATTCCCTCTGTCCATTCCCTCTGTCCATTCCCTCTCTCCATTCCCTCTCTCAGTTCCCTCTCTCAGTTCCCTCTCTCAATTCTGTCTCCATTCCCTCTCTCCATTCCCTCTGTCCATTCCCTCTGTCCATTCCCTCTCTCCATTCCCTCTCTCAATTCCCTCTCAATTCCCTTTCTCAGTTCCCTCTCTCAATTCCCTCTCTCAGTTCCCTCTCCATTCCCTCTGTCCATTCCCTCTCTCCATTCTCTCTCTCAGTTCCCTCTCAATTCCCTCTCTCAGTTCCCTCTCTCCATTCCCTCTCTCCATTCCCTCTCTCCATTCCCTCTCTCAATTCCCTCTCTCAATTCCCTCTCTCAATTCCCTCTCTCAGTTCCCTCTCTCAATTCCCTCTCTCAATTCCCTCTCCATTCCCTCTGTCCATTCCCTCTCTCCATTCTCTCTCTCAGTTCCCTCTCAATTCCCTCTCTCAGTTCCCTCTCTCCATTCCCTCTCTCCATTCCCTCTCTCCATTCCCTCTCTCAATTCCCCCTCAATTCCCTCTCTCAGTTCCCTCTCTCCATTCCCTCTCTCCGTTCCCTCTCTCGCAGCTCCTCCGCGCGACTCAAGCCGAGCCAAGGCTGCCGTTTGTTCTCCGTCACGGGCGGAACATCTGCGCGCCACATGGAGCCGAGTTCACAGCCAGGAACGCCACGCTGGGGCCAGGTGGGACCGGGCTGGAGCTGCCCGGGGCTGCCGTGCCCACCCGGGGCTGGGGTGCCCACCCAGGACTACAATGCCCACCCGGGATTGGGGTGCCCACCCAGGATTGGGGTGCCCACCTGGGTTATTCTGGGCAGCCCACCCAGGGTTTGGTTGGGGTGCCCACCCGGGACTGGGGTGCCCACCCAGGATTGGGCAGCCCACCCAGGGTTGGTTGGGGTGCCCACCTGAGTTTGCTTGGCATGCCCACCCAGGTTTTTTTGGGATGCCAGCCATAATCCCAGCATTTTAACGGGTTTCTATGGGATCGCCGATGGCACCACAGCCCCAGCAGGACGGGAAGGGGTGACAGGACTGGCAGGGGACAAGGGCCACCATCCCCGGGGACATCCCCGGAGCAGACGGGAGGAAGGGCTGGCACAGCGGGGGAGCAGCCGCGGGATCCCACAATTAATTTACCGCAGCAAGTGGCAAATCCAGATGTTCTCCTCAGGCCCTCACATAAATCCCTCCTCCTCCTCTCCTCCTCCTCCCCCTCCTCCTCCTCTCCCTCCTCATCCTCCTCCTCCCCCCCCCCCCCCCCCCCGTGCTGGGGACACCGAGGTCACGGCCTGCTGTCCCCGAGCATCGTCCCTGCCACCCCCGTGCCCGGTGCCAGCCTGGGAATCATCCCGGGAAATTCCCAAATTCCCCAGCCCTGGAAGAGCCCAACCCAGTCTGCCCCATCCCACTGATCCCATCCCATTGATCCCATCCCATCCCATCCCATCCCATCCCATCCCATCCCATCCCATTGATCCCATCCCATCCCATCCCATCCCTGCCCTGGATGCAGCCTGGGGAAAGTGGGGAGTGCTCTGGGAAATCGGCTCAGAGGGGAGATTTTCCCATTAGGATGGGGCTGTGATTCCTGCAGGGATGGGGTCAGTTATCCCACAGAAATGGGGCTGTGATTCCATGGAAATGGGGTCAGTTATTCCATGGAAATGGGACCCAGTTATTCCATGGAAATGGGGCTGTTATTCCTACAGGGATGGGGTGATTTATCCCGTGGAAATGGGGCTGTGATTCCCATAGAAATGGGGCAGTTATCCCATGGAAATGGGGCTGTTATTCCTACAGGGATGGGGTGATTTATCCCATGGAAATGGGGCTGTTATTCCTACAGGGATGGGGTGATTTATCCCATGGAAATGGGGCTGTGATTCCCATAGAAATGGGGTCAGTTATCCCATGGAAATGGGGCTGTTATTCCTACAGGGATGGGGTCATTTATCCCATGGAAATGGGGCTGTGATTCCTACAGGGATGGGGTGATTTATCCCATGGAAATGGGGCTGTGATTCCCATAGAAATGGGGTCAGTTATCCCATGGAAATGGGGCTGTTATTCCTACAGGGATGGGGTCATTTATCCCATGGAAATGGGGCTGTGATTCCCGTAGGAATGGGGTCAGTTATTCCATGGAAATGGGGCTGTGATTCCTGTAGGAAGAGGCCCAGTTATTCCATGGAAATGGGGCTGTTATTCCTACATGGATGGGGTCAGTTATCCCATGGAATTCGGGCTGTGATTCCCATGGAATTGGGGCTGTTATTCCATGGAAATGGGGCCAAGTTGTTCTGTTCCTACATGGATGGGGTCATTTATCCCATGGAAATGGGGCTGTGATTTCTGTAGGAATTCGGGCTGTGATTCCCATGGAATTGGGGCTGTTATTCCATGGAAATGGGGCCCAGTTGTTCTGTTCCTACAGGGATGGGGCGATGCTGGTGTGGGTGGAACAGGGAAGGTGAATTCCCATTGGGATGGGGGACACAGGGGACTTGGGGGACATCAGGGACACAGGGGACACAGGGGATTGGGGAACTTGGGGCACATGGGGGACACAGGGGACACAAGGGACATGAGGGACACAAGATTGTCCCCCCTGGTGCTGCCCGGGGCCTCCCGAGCTCCCTCTGGGGCTGGGATGTGCCCCCAAATCTCCGAGCACCCCAAAAGCCCCAGGGCAGGAGCGATCCCGCTCTCCCCAAACCCACTCCCATCCCCTCGGGGTGTCCCCCTTTTCCCTTGCATTTCCCTCCCTGACTTCCAGGCCTGCAATTCCTCCCTCCCCGTTCCCTTTTCCCGTTCTCCCCTCGTTTCCCGGCCCATCCATCACCCTGCCGGCAGCCGGGGGCTCGGGATGGATCCTCGGGCCCTTATAAGGCGAGAGCCGGGCTGGGAAAAACAAACCCCGCAGAGAAAGCAGGGCCGGGCAGCTCCCAAAACCCCAGAGAGAAAACGCCGGGAATGGGGAACGGGCACGGAGGGAGGACAGGGCCACACCCAGCAGCGTTATCGATCGTTATCAATGATTGATCGATCCTGGCAGGGCCGGCTCTGCTTTGGGAACCGATTGATCCCGGGGCTGCTGCTGGATCAGGAATTTCGCTGCCCGGAGGAAACGAACGAGTGTCAGCGGGGATGAGCCGGCCAAGAGGAGATTTTTTATTTTCCTTGGCTCAGGGCTGCGCTTTTCGCTGCGTTTGTCTCTCGTTTGGGGGGTGGGGATTGGTTTTAATTGACTCAGAGCTCGGCTGGAGGAGAACGAGATAAAGGAGGAATGGAAGGGGGATGAAGAGGAGGCAATAGAGACGAAATAGAAATAAAATAGGCAAAAAAAAAAAAATAGAAATAAAATAGGAAAAATTAGAAATGAATTAGGAAAAATTAGGAATAATTTTTAATTAGGAAAAATATAGAAATTTATATTAGGAATATAAATAGGAATAGAAAATAGGAAAAAAAAAGAAATAAAATGGAAATAAAATAGAAATAAATTAGAAATAAAGTGGAGGTAAATTAGAAATAAAATAGAGGTAAATTAGAAATAAAATAGAGATAAATAGAACAGAGATTAATGGAATGGAATGGAATGGAATGGAATGGAATG